TAGCCTACTTCTAAAATCTGATAATATGACATCATTAATAGATACAACTACTAATTAGAATATAGATATGCAACAACAAACAGAAAAGAATATTCTCACAGATTATATCTCTCTAATTAGTCCAAATCCAATACCAAATACTCCTATGACCAATGCTACTGCATCAACTTCTAGTTCACATGTAAACAACAACAAACAAAGTATGCCCAAACTGGTTCTTAAGTTGGAAACTATGATATAAGAAGTTAATATAGAAATAGATAATCACTTAACAGATAATGAGAATACTTACTCAACTAATACAATACTTGAAGAACAATTTCAAAAGAAGATGTCCTATAGTCAAGTAGTCTCTAAAGACCTTTCAAAAAGATTTAAAGAAACCAAACAAATACTTAAACATAATAGAGAACAGGCATGAAAAAAATATATACAAGAGGCCCTCATACAGATTAGAGTAGAAAAACTAGAACTTTTCAATCCAAGTTTGTGGACATGTATAAAAATCAAGAATTAAAAGAATTTATTAGATACAAGCTCTCTATGAGACCAAATATCTATTACATTTCAAAAACTATCACTACAAAACTTTTTCATTATGACATAGCCTTTTTTAGAAGTTTTACCAGAGTCCTTGCTATTAAACCTCAATATCAAAAAGAATTTAATGAGATATTTACAAATACTCTTGAAGCATACAAGAAACAACATAATATTTTAGCAACAAATAAGAAAAATTATAATCAAATATTTGAATTACTACGATCAAAATTGGCTTTAGATTACTTAACTAACATAACTTTGATCTATTAGATGCATAGGAAATCACTAGATATATCTTATATTTAACAGGATTTGCAAAAATTTTACAACAACTAGACTTTAACACAATTAGACAGATAGTCTTAGGCCTTATTGATAAAGCTTTGATATCTTTACTAGCTAATTTCTCTTTAATCCCAACATACTTGTTAGATACTATTCCTTTTGATTTACCAATCTCTAATAGGCAGATCATTATATCAGCAGTTAAAACTCTGCAACTAATATTTTTATTTAACTGAATGCCTGATTTTTTTATCTCTAATAACAGAGAACTACTACTTGATTCATATGAGAACTTAAAAGGAAAACTACAAAACATATTTCCTATTGTAGAGAGAGTAGATCTAAAAAACTTATCTAAATACAAAGAAGCCTTACAAGAATTTTATTTTTTCTGAAAAATTCTATCTAATTACTTTGATTTGCTAGCACTAAAATGCCTACTACCTACTACCTCACAAGACCTAATACCTAGATTAAAAGAAAAATTTCTTTTCTTGACTAAAAGTCAAGAAGACTTCAAAGAATATATTAGAATTCTGAGAATAGAATACTTTTTCACTAGACTACCAAATGACTACATTATCTCTCACAAATATCTACCTCAAAACCTAGCAAATCTGAAGATGTCTAACTTCTCTTTCTCTTTGAAAAACAAGAAGGAAGTCAATATGTTTAAAAAAGTTATTTCATCTATGTATAATATTCTTGTACTGTTACTACTAGCATATTGCAACTTTAACTACACAGATCTCTTAGACCTTTCAGAAGATACAAACTTAATTATAAAAGTTAACCTAATATTACCAATATCAACTCCAAAAGAGTTAAGTATAACTGCTAAAGCTTTATGAGAATACTACTACTTCCACTCTTTACCTCAATTCTAGATTGATATACAGAAAAAAGAAATACAAACAGACACAGAACATGGTTTATCTAGACTACTGCAAACCATAGAACAACTCTATACAATACTATAAGAGAAACAGATTACTGAGATAAACATTCTTATAAAAAAATACTACAATATTCTAACTATAATCAATGCTCTACTCCAGCACTTCTCTTTCAATACTATACTAGAATATGTCTTTGATCTAGTAGACCTACTTGAACTCCCTTTTAATATTTTCAATATACAAAAAACTACTTCAACAACAACTAATATACTCATATCACAAACAGAGACAAACTCTCTAATAGATAATCAATAAGTATATAATATAATACAAATATACTGCTGATAGCAGAAAATGAGAATGAACTTAAACTACCTGAAATCAACATACAAGAAAAAATTAATATTGTTACTCATAATATTAGAGGCATAAATAATATTCTAAAAATGCAAAACTAGATCGAATATTGCACAGAATTAAATTTGCATATAATTTTAATCACAAAAACAAAATTAAGAGATTCAGTAACAAAATTACTCTCAAATCTTTTATACAAGATATATACTTCAAACTTTTAATTATACAAAACTAAATAGTGAGAAGCTAGTCTAGAAACTGTACTAATAGTTTGTAATCAACTACAGCTATATATTCACAAAATTAATACACTTCCAGGAACAGTAGTTTGTCTTGACTTTTACTTCTTAAATAATAACAAAACTCATATTATCTCAACCTATTTGCTATCTAATTATTTAACACTATTAAAATATACTTAATCACAACTACTTACTTGAATTACAGAAGTTAAAACTAAAAACTAGTATCTAATTATTCTGAGAGATTTCAATGCTTACCAACACAGAAATCTACAACTCCAAATCTTTACAAATTTAAAAGCAGTAAATATGACTAGCTTTATAGAATTTTATAATATTCAAACTCCTACTTGATAAGGTTCTACAATGAATAGCCAAATAGATAATCTTTAGGTTTCATCAGACTTAATATTAGCAATTGATCCTCTATCTCTAATTAATAGTACTTACATTTCGAACAGTGATTACTATATTCTAAGTACTTATTAGTATACAAATTTCTCACTACAAAAAGGCTCTCAAAACAAAAAAAAGAAAAGGAAAGTCTACTTATATGAGAAAATATTAACAGATAATTGGGAAATATTTACTAACTCACTGAGTACTTTATTTAATACCTAACTTTTTAATATTTATAATATTGAGAAAGACAATATAAGCAAAGTTTGGAATATCTGAGCAACAAAAATTAAAGAAACAATGAACAAATTCATTCCATACATCTTTACTACTCAAAAAACCTTTCATGCACTTTCTCTAAAAGCAACTAAACTC